CGGGGCCCCCCCCTCCCCCCCCCCCCCCGAGTGCACAAATTTTTGTGCACCGGGCCTCTAGTTATAACATAATAGCCGTTTTGGTTGGTGCCAAGAGAACAATTCAAACCTGCTTTTTTTAATCCTCACTTGAGGAAATGCTTAGAGAGAGGAAGGGAGAGAGGAAGGAACAAAGAGAGGAAGAGAGGAAGGAAGAGAGAGAGAGAGACAGACAGAGAGAGAGACAGAGACAGAGAGAGAAAGAAACATCGATGTACATGGATCAAACCTGCAATCCAGGCATGTGTCCTGACTGGGAATCAAGCCCAGCAACCTTTTGGTGCACAGGACACTCAAACAACCTAGCCACTCTGACTGACCAAACCTGTGTTTTGAATGGGGAGAGCAGGGTCATGGTAGAAATGACATCTCAAGGATCCCACAGCAGAAGCACTAGAACAAGTCAAGAATCCACAGGACAAGTGTGCCCAGAGCTCCTCCCTGCTTCACAATATAACTCTGATTCAAAACTACAGGAGGAAAAACTGGTTGGGAAAAATACTGGATGCATATAGGAATCTTGAACTGTTAGGGAAGAAACAAGGGCAATGTGGGAGAAAAGAATACTCCCCCCAAATTGATATATGTGCTTTCTCTTTTTCTTCTCCTACTTTCCTTGCGTTCTTGGTCTGCTTATTGATTTTTTTCTCCATCCCTTCTCTCTTACTTCTTTACCTGTTTCCTAAATCATTATTTTCCTCTTGTTAAAAGGCTCTCTCCCTGCATCTTCTTTACAGCACACTATGCAGGACAGGAATTACAAAGAGTAAAATGTACTCACAGAATCATGGATTCCTAAAACATTTAAGCTAGACAATACGTCTATATCAGAGTCTAACATCACAGGAAAACTGAAGTACAGAGGAGGAAAATAACTTGTGTAAGTCACAGAGGGGATTTTTGGCTAAGCTGGAATTTAAGCCTCGGTGGGACCCATTGGGACAACTTTGCCAATTTTCAGAGCTCAGCTTGGAGAGAGAGATTTCTGCTTCAGCCAATGAAAAAATGGTAATATAAATGAGAGCAATAGTAAGATAAATGATCTATGCCAGCCGTGGGCAAACTACGGCCCGCGGGCCGGATCCGACCCGTTTGAAATGAAAAAAACTAAAAAAAAAAAAAAAAGACCGTACCCTTTTATGTAATGATGTTTACTTTGAATTTATATTAGTTCACACAAACACTCCATCCATGCTTTTGTTCCGGCCCTCTGGTCCAGTTTAAGAACCCATTGTGGCCCTCGAGTCAAAAAGTTTGCCCACCCCTGATCTATGCTCTGTTGCGACAACAGTTATCAAGTAGCTATGAACCAGTTATAAACTAACCTGGTGGTTTTGTAGTACAGTTTGGGTTGAAGGAAAATCCCATAGGCTACATTTCTAAGAGGCAACTCTTCTCTTACTGTGAATCATTTTGTTTTTGTTTTTTGTTTGTTTTGTTTTCTCTTTTCAGAGGCCATTTACAGACCCTTTCTTCTTGCTGCTTTTGCCAACTCTGACACCAATGCAAACTAAGTTCTAAATATCAAATTTGCAAAGGACAACTGAGAGTAGTGTATGAAGGAATAAGCAGAGATAAAAAAAAATACAGCATTGCAGTTTGCTATAGTTCTTGTGTTTCTTTGAAAAATCCTTATTGTTGTTAAAATATGTTTTGCTGGGAGATATTTCAACTAATTTGTATTTTTCTGGAATACAGATGCTTAGAGAAACAGCTTAACTGTAAGGCTGGTGGCTGGTGTCCTTAGAGTCACAACGGTAGAGGATTTCTGAGGCTGGGCTCCCTGAGATACAACTTGTAGTGATTGGAAGTGTTTCTGTCAAACACAGGCATTTCCTCACAAACTAGGTATTATTTTTCTGCCTTTACAAAGCACTGTAGAATATTTACTTGGTTTTAGAACTGGAGTTAGTAGAGATACTCTCAAGACAGAGGAATATTTTTAAAACTGAATCTTTGAATCCTTACATGGAAATGGAAAACACTAGGTACTGCATTCTGTCACTATATCAGTCAGTGCATCAGTATTTATGCTTCTGGAAAGCAAAGAACAAGAGAGAATGGAAAACTGAGCATTGGCTGTGTAGGCTTGGTATCCATGGAGCACGCTATGAGGCTGTTGTTAGGGTAACTAGAAATCAGGCACAAGGAAGAAAAGAAATAGCACAAATGAGAGGGAGCTCTGAGACTAGGTTGATCCTTCACAGTATATGGGAACCAGGAATGTCCACAGTTATGATTTGTTAGACAAACGTAAATGGTATGAGAGAAAAGGAAAATTAGAATTTCAAATAGAAAATATATACAGCTATGAGTTTTGTAAAATCCGTTCTTTTGTAGAAAACATGATATATAAACTTACTTTGACTTAATATGGCATCTAGAGATGTGGCTACTGCTTTCTGAGGAAAACTCCAAATAGCTTTCCTTTTGAGCATAATTCAGCGGTTCTCAACCTATGGGTCGCGACCCCTTTGGCGGTCGAACAACCCTTTCACAGGGGTCGCCTAAGACCATCCTGCATATCAGATATTTACATTACGATTCATAACAGTAGCAACATTACAGTTATGAAGTAGCAACGAAAATATTTTTATGGTTGGGTCACAACATGAGAAACTATATTTAAAGGGCCAGAAGGTTGAGAATCACTGGTAGAAGAGAGACTCATGTGGAAATATATTCAGCTAGTTGTTTACCTTGATCTCAGTTAATTATTACTAAAACTCCTAGCCCTCCTCCCACTTCTTGCCAGGAGACCAGAATACATGTTGACTTAAGAATGTCTCTGCCCTGGCCAGTTGCTCAGTGGTTAGAGCGGTGGCCCTCGGACCAGAGGATCGGGGGTTTGATTCCAGGTCAAGGGCACATATCTCAGTTGCAGATTCAACCCCAAACCCGGTTGGGGTGCATGCCGGAGGCAACCAACTGATGCGTCGTTCTTTCTCTCTCTCTCCATCCCCTCACTCTATCTGAAAATCAATGGAAAAATATATCCTCGGGTGAGGATTAAAAAAAAAAAAGAATGTCTAACCCTGCAGAGAATTTTTATAAGAATTTATTTGAGGCAAAACTGACAATTGCTGGGAAGCAATATCTCAAATGCTTCCATGAATTATTTTGAATGCATCTGCACCCCTCCCTCAAACAATAATGTTATACTATAAATGCTCTATAGAGAAACTGCCCAAATGAAAGGACCAAATTTCACTCTGAGGACAGGACATTTTTGTGTTTTGTTTTTTTTTTCTAAAAATATCTGCATTTCAGGAAAATATTTTAAAAATGTGTTCATTATTAAGGGTTCCCCTTTTTGGTACCAAAGATCATCAGAAATTTCAGAACACAGGATATTGGCAACAAGTACCAAAGCAGGAGATGCCTCTTTCTGGAGGAGAGAAACCATCATCTAAGTGACAGTGATGCTCCCTAACCCAGGAAATCTCAGTTAAGGACGTGAGGTGTGGAAGGAGCTGTTGCCACCCTGTGCCAGAGCATCCTAGTTGACTCAAACCTTTTTCCTACTTACATGGAACAGTGGAAAGTGCCAACAGGGTTCTCACGACGAATGTCTTCATATTCCTCATATATTCCCCGCTTTTGCCTGGTGCTAACATAATTCATCAGCTCTTGGATAGTCATGGCATGAGGACCTGGAACATGCACTGAGTCCCAGTCTAAAGCAGGAGGGAGGGAGAACAAGATGATCTCATCGAAGGGATCCGGGTGGCCATTCATCTGGGGTAGGAATTGGAAATTCCAAGTGGCGAGGTCCATTTTGACGTACCCACCCAGGTTTTCTGGAAGGCACTCTCTGGGCAGGTGCTGGGTAACCTCGGATGTCTTTAATATCTGAATCTGGAAGGCCAGAAAGAACCATGTGAGTATGTGTATGTCTGTGTGTGTGTGTGGCGGGGGAGACAAATAATGAAGATAAAGAACAAATGTGGCCCTAGTCGATTTGGCTCGGTGGATAGAGCATTGGCCTGTGCACTGAAGGGTTCCAGGTTCAATTCTGGTCAAGGGCACATGCCGGGTTGCGGGATCAATCCCCATCAGGAGGCATGCAGGAGGCAGCCAATCAATGATTCTCTCTCGTCATTGATGTTTCTATCTCTCTCTCCCTCTCCCTTCCTCTCTGAAATCAATAAAAAATATTTTTCTAAAAAGGAACAAATGTGCTTCAGGGACATAAAGTACAGCACAGGGAATATAGTCAATATGGTATGAGGTAGGCACTTAAATTACGGGGGTGGAGGGGACAGTTACACTGTAAATTATGATTGTCTAACCAATATGCTGTACACCTAAAACTAATATAAAATAATATTAGGTTTGAAGAACAGGATGAAATTTACTTGCAATGCTTAGTATACTTGTAAAAATACACTGTACTTCATCTGTCTGGGATTGAAGTCTTTTGAATTTCCCAGAGAATGTATATCAAATTTCCAGAAGGTATAGCAAATTCACTCCTGAAAATAGGTGCTCTATTATATACCTTCTAAAAGGAAGGTATAGTGAACAAAGGCGTTATTTTATGCTATTAACAAGGCTTCCCAGTAACATCTGCTGAGGGTATTCATCTTTTGACTACCAAGAATGAATAGGTAGTGGTTATTTTTGTCAACTTTATACTAAGCCTGTTATAATTTACTTTATTCATAGCTTTGTATGAATATTCTTAGAGATAGGTTTCTATGAAAGTAACATAAGACAAGTCACCCATACACAGGGTAGACCAGGAAAAATGCTGGGGAAGTCAGCATAATACCTAATTCTGCTGTCTGCTGGAACCCAGCCATACTGGACAATATTAGCCTAGTTGGTTATTCTTGAAATCTATGTGGAATGAAGGTGCTGACCTCTCTTGCTATTGCATTTTTCTGGAATGCCCTCTTTCCCTCCTCAGCCTCTTCAAGGACAGCTTATAGCTCATGAATCCCAGGCAATGTTCTCCTGCATGCTCCTGCAGAGCAACGCTCCTCTCTCTGCACTTGTCTGTCTCTGTCCCCTATCAGGACCATGAACTCCTCTAGGATAAGGACTGTCTTCAGCAATTTTTCATTCCCAAGGCCCAGAGCCTGGATTGTAAAGGTCCTCAATATATTTCGAGTTTATACACGCATTTATGTTTGAATATAAAAGTGTAAAAACTTGCCTAAGGAGTCTTCTCAAAGAGTTATATTAGGAAAGATCTCCCCTACTCTGAGTCATTAGGTCCCTAAGTAGTTCCATAGAACCAAATCAGTTTCCCCTTGCCAACTCAAGTCACCTCAACTATAAAGACCTGCATTGTTATTATTCATATAACCTCATAATCCTATACTACAAAAATCTCTGATAACATTCCACAACAACTTTATTATCTTAAATCCAATTGTGTCAATGTTTCATATGCCCTTTCTTTCAAGGGTAGAAATGAATGAATGAATTAGTAAAACCATAATCTTTCAGTCCTGGAACACTCACAGAATAATGGAACTAAGATAACACTTTTGAAATTAGGAAGCAACAAGCTGTTTTAAAAGAAAATGCCATACCCCAGCCGGTTTGGCTCAGTGGATAGAGTGTTTGCCCAGGCACTGAAGTGAAAATGCCAGAAATTTAGATAGAAAGAGACATAGTGAAATATTCTTCTCTGCCCCCTTGGTGGTCTAGGACTGAATGGTATTTCTTTTTTTTTTTTTTTAATATTTTATTGATTTTTCACAGAGAGGAAGGGAGAGGGATAGAGAGTTAGAAACATCGATGAGAGAGAAACATCGATCAGCTGCCTCTTGTACACTCCCCACTGGGGATGTGCCCATAACCAAGGTACATGCCCTTGGCCGGAATCGAAAATGCGACCTTTCAGTCTGCAGGCCGACGCTCTATCCACTGAGCCAAACCGGTTAGGGCTGAATGGTATTTCTTGTTGAACAAAGTCAAACACCTGTTCAACTAATGCAATTATACACTAGAGGCCCGGGGCACAAAAATTTTTGCACTGGGCGGGGATGGGGTGTCCCTCACCCAGGCCTGTGCCCTCTGTCATTCTGTGACCCCTCAGGGGATGTCCACCTGCTGGCTTAGGCCCACTCCCCGGGGCATTGAGCCTAAGGTGGCAATCAGACATCCCTCTGGCAGCCCGGCAGCCCTCGGGGGATGTCCACTTGCCAGTGGGGAGCAGACCTAAGCTGCTGTCGGACATCCTTAGCGCTGCTGAGGAGGCAGGAGAGGCTCCCACCACCACCGCTGTACTGGCAGCCATCAGCCTTGCTT